AGTTAATTCACCTAGTCAGCTGGTATCATAAATTTTGAAAATAAATTATCCGAATATTTTAACATTGAGCTCTTGGCTTTACTTCACAATGTGTCCTCTGTAATGGCTTCATGCCATCAGAATCCAATCACGTATATTCAAGATTTCTTCAAAGCTTTATAAATTTGGAATTATAGTTTCTCCTCGACACTGCTCAATTTGTAGGCAAACACCAAAGTTCCTTGCGCACATGATTCCGCATCCGCACCGTGAAGAACTTTGTCTTCAGTAGCTACATGTGCACGTATGTGTGACACAAGAGGAGAATACGCATACTTTTATAAAACGGTTCATATTACCAAACTGGACTTGCATAACCTGTTCAATAATATACCGCGTCTCCCAAAAATATTTTTTTTAACAGCAATAATAAGCTGTGCATTATCAAATGCTCAGTCTACATTCAAATGTAGCGCTAGCAGTTCGGGGCAGATAACAATGCTTTAAAAATTTCCATACTATTCTAAATTTATCAGTGATTTTGGGAAAGACCCATTGGGAAACTAAGGCTTTTTCTACTAAGCTCATGGAATAATTAATCATTTATTCGTCCGCTGTCATTACCCTATAAAACGATATTCCGAATGTCCCTGATAACGTTTTGTCAGATAACGACAAGGTCGGAACCTGGCGTTCTGTACAGACTGCTTGAGTTAAATGTGGGATCGGACCGAGCGCTCGGCTATGCATCACTTATTCTTGCACTACAAAAAAAGATTTGGGGAGAGGACATTTTGTAAACAATGGTGAGAATGCAGCGCGATGTAAAAATGAAAAATGTGCTGGCATACGGGTTCCACCAGGGCATATGTTGTTTTTGAACATCATGGCACACTTCCCGTAGCTAGCAGCAAACAGCACGTTACCACCATTGTGATGTGCGGGACACGTGCATGCTAACGTTGTTGCCACAACATGGTTCGTACTGAGACATCATGGAATATGTTCTGTAATGGACCCTTTTCAAATGTCCGCGCCAACACCTGTCCGCCATTGCTTGCCCTTATACTCTGGGCATGTACTGGAGACGAGGGCTACGGTCAGAGTTTGGCGTTCCCGGATCCAATCTAGCGCCTCGTGTCCAAGCAATGGTGACAGCCAATGTTATTCAATTGTATTCAATTCTATTTTCCAACACAGTGTTGGAGGTCCTTGGGTGAAAAAGCTGTCGTTGACATCTTGAGAGTGCCTGGGGACCCATACAGACAGCAACGTTTGGTGAAAAAGTACAACAAATATGACGCGTAATAATATGAGTACACGGAAACGCCGTATGATTGTATACGACTCCATATGGCACATGTAAAACACTATATAAAGATTATCGACAGTTGATGAAATTAATAATGGCATAGTTCAAATTTTCCCAAATGGCTTGTGTTGTAGGAAAAATTACAATAAAATCTTGAACACAACTTTGTCATTTACAACATACAGACTAATGGATTGTAATGTATTGCTTACAAAAATTCTCGCATTTTTTTGCTAGTAATTGTATCAAAGTTAATATTTTATCCTAGATACTTGTTTAGAATAAAAGGTAAGTTTAATGTCAGCGATTGCGAGAAGTATTCAGTGCGCCTGCCCGGCCCTAATGACCTGTCACAGCTGCGGGTGCGAGGGCCAGTTATTTCTTTCGATAGGTCAGATGTCATTTTTAAAAATGATTTGAAATTTTCATTCCACAAGAATAAAGTGTGCAATAAACGAAATTTATAAATATTTTTTACGCTTATTATACCATATGTGTGTCCAATTTTGCACTTGATTGTAACCGTGGCACTGTAGCCATATATCGAATCGCTTTCTTTTGAAGAAGAAGGATGGTGTGTATGTTTCCTGCTGTGGTCGTGCCCTACACGAGCGTGCAGTAATTTATATGTGAAGTAAATACGGCATGATGAATTTGAAGTCTTGTATTATATGGAAGAATGTGTTGGACATCGTGACAAGTCTCCTGTCGCCAATGATAAGGAGTTAGCTAGAGCTTCAATGTAATATGTCCATGTCATATTGGCAGAACATGTAACTCCAAGGATCCTGTGTCTGTTAACTATTTCCAAAGAAGTGTCACCGGGTAAGAAATTGTATATTATATTTGTGTCTGTCTATGTGTAGTTATGAATAAAATTGCCTTAGATTTCTTTGTTTGTATTTTTAGACCGTTTTCGTTGGACCAGTGCCACCCTTTTGAAAGTTCCCTTTTAGCTTTTAAAATTATTTCCTTTGTATCCCATCCGGAAATAAACAGGCTTATGTCATCCGCATAGATCACGGAGACTGCGCTACTATCCTGCTGAACAACACCATTAATATACACTTTGAAAAAGAACGGTCCCAAAACAGTTTATTGTGGAACACCGGCAGTAATTAATTTGGAAGATGAAATATTATTATCTATTGATAGACACTGCTTCCGGTCGTAAAAATAAGATTGAAACAACGATCGGGTGATTCCGCAGACACCGTATGTGTGCAACTTGTTTAGCAATATCTCGTGGTTTATGTAATCGAATGCCTTACTGTAGTCAATAAATACTAAGAGGGTAAGCCGATTTACTTAATGATAAATTTCTTCATTGATAAAAGCGCTCTTTCTGCTGATTCCCTGTCCAAAGCCATGTTGACTGCCCATAAGTATGCCGTGTTTAGTGAAAAAATTGTTGACGCGTGACAAAATTATGCTCTCAAGTTCTTTAAAGAACGCTGGGAGAATGGACACTGGCCTGTCATTGTAAAAGTTGTTTTTTATCCTCCTTGAAAAATCAATGAAACTTTTGCCGTTTTCATTATACTTGGGAAAGAACCAAATATAAAACTAGATTAAATATGCAGTTTAGACAGGGAGCGACAGCATCATTTGCGTACTTTACAGACTCTCTGAACGTCCTCTATGTCCGTTGAGTCAGTGTTTTTTAAAGTTCATAAATGTGCGACAAATTTCGATATCATTCGTAGGTTCACGGGACACGGCTCCACTGCATTCGTACCCGGGTTTGAACCAGTGATGTTATTGAGCGGTCTAACCATATTAACAAAACGCGTTTTGAAATCCTCGACTAATATGTCCCATGAAAGTTTGTTGTTTCCTATTGTTAATCTAGTTGTGTTACATTTCGTGTTTTGTCATTTAAGAACCTCGTTTATTATCTTCTACACTCTTTCAGGGCGCTTTTTGGACACCTAAAAAAAAGGTTGTTATAGTAAGATGTTTTTTCCTTCCTTAACTCGGCGGTTAGCTTCTTTCTGCTTCTTAAAAGCTGCAAGTTTACACGGTTCCCTCGTACGCAAGTAAGCTTTAAAAAGTTTGTTTTTTTCGTTGATAATTTTTAAATATTCAGGTCCTATACAAGGCTTTCTAATTTTCTTTTTTGATTTTAGGTTATGTGAGGGAAAGGGGCATTATAGGGGTGAAAAATTATTGATAAGAATTTGTTATAAGCGTCACTACCGTTGGTTTTGCTCTAGGCGGATGACCAGTCAGCATTTACGATATACCTACGGAAGGTGTTCAGGTTTCTGCTTGATAGGCACCGATATGTTAATTTAGATTAACGTGTTCTTCCTATGATGTAGAAGTAGACTACGTTATAAAAACGGGAGAGTGATCACTTATGTCATAGCATACTGTACCTACCACGCGAATAGGTGTATCTATATTTACAATGAAAAGGTCAAGGATGGATTGACCCGTGAGTGATACACGAGTTGGGGTCGTGATGATATTCTGGTAACTGCACGAATTATTCTGTTAAAATCACGGGCATGCGTGTTATCATCAAGCATAATTGTATTGAAATCACCCCCGATCAGCAAGCGATACCGACAAATTGATGCGAAATCTAATATTTCTTCAATAAAATTAAGAAAAACGTTCCGGTTACTAGAGGGGGGACGACACACAACCGCAAAGATTTCACTGCTACTTAGCAAACAAGGTGCCTCGTAATCTGTTGTGATAAGCGTGCAACTTTCCAGCCCTTCGCATGACGATTGCTGTTTAACATGCATCGCAACACCACCACCGTCGATGTACTCTTGAAAAGGGTACATTCAGTGGTATGGAACATGTTATGGCAACAAGGCTAGCATAGACATGTCCTATACTTACACGTTATATTGTCTACAGTGTACCAAGCGTATTTGAATTATAGAACCTTGAGTTGAATATTTGAGATGGAAACAAGCTTGGTTTCAACTAATAAAAATACTCTTATTTTCACCCTCAGGAGTCGGTTATTTATTATATGAACGGTGCCGATGTATAAGAAATGTTCATTTATCGTTTCAGCATTCACTAAAACTGCGGACTCAACTAGTTTGATTATATAGGCTAGTTGAAAACAGCGAAAAGAGTTGAGATACAATTTAAGAAAAAATTACTTCAGAAATAAGTTATCTAAACACGATTGCTTGTATGACACAAGCATAAGGGATGGCACCATTTGTACCAGGTTTTCTCACTTTTTGCTATACAAAGCTGCCTTTTAAGGACATTCTACATATATGCTGGACAACAAATGTGAAGGCTCATCGGCACACGTTTATTTTGTTAAGGAAACATGGCGCTGCAGATATTGTTCGCAGAATGTACTCTATATGTATGTCGCAAGCAGGCACTTACAATATTACTTCCCGTGGGGTCGTAAAACGCACTTTCTAATTATAATCTACAAGAGAGTACTAGTAGCATATTAATGTTTTATGGTGCAAAAGCCGATAAGGGTATGAGGTGCCAGAAGTTAAAATATTTCATAAGACGGTTCAGGAGAGATAATCCGCATAATGCCGTGTACGTTCATTACTATCATGGGCCAAAACTCGCGTCTCACCGAGAACGCTCAAGTAGCTCAGAAGTTGCGATGCAAGGAAAAAAAAGAGCCGATATTCAAACGTATCTTTTGAATAAGGAAACTGTTGACTATTGAAACGGTCAATTTTCTTACAGTGTGTCTACGTACCATTCCGAGGACGAGAATGACGAATCCCACGCCCCCAACTCCGAGAATTATGGGACTCTGGGTAGCGATGACGGAGAGCCTAGACATCGCCAGAAGGACGTTCTGGGCGCAGGTCTTAATCGAGAGGTAGGAGCGGGAGTCAATCGCGTCGAGGTCCAGCGAGAACCTGTTCAGCATCCTTCCCCGGGGCGTCGAGTCGAAGAAGCTTACGGGGCTGGACAAGACGTGGCTCAGCATCTCATAGTGCAGAGAACGGGACAGTTGTCGCATGCTCGCCGCCAGAAGGGCACCACCGACGCACCGGAAGAGCACTGGGACGAGGAAGCAGCGTCAGGATATCTTAGGTATTGACCTTAGTCTCAACGGAATGAGCTCACCCAATTATAACGGAATGAAAACACGAAGGTAGTCGAAGATGAAGGGTACAACTATTCAAAGGTTCCTCCTGGAGCTATTTCAAAATGATGGCCGGCGTTTCGGTATGGAACTCATGAAAGTCAGGTAACAAAATGTCGGCTCTTACTTTGAAGCGTCCAGGAGGTTACATTTCAATAAATAATGTAGGAACCAAGTCGATGATCCTTGACTGAGGGATCCTTAAGCTTTTGTTTTCTGTGCTTCGTTTAGCAACTGATGCGGCCGCAAAAACAAAGTAACTCTAAAACATCAACTGCGCAGGCAACACTGAACGCAAAATTTCGCTTGCGTTGTCTGTTGTTACTTATGTAGGCTTTTCCATTTGTTAAATGCAGTTCGTAAATTGCAATGATTAGTCACCCACCTCTTTTAGGTCGAAATGGGAGGAGCGGAATATTATAGTGTTAACCCGAATACAATACAATCTAAGACGCAAGTGTTGTATAATTCAATATTTGACCTTTACAGTCACTCATACCTTCAAGAACGCAGGTCGTGCCCAGTTCCGATCAAGGTTTTATCGGTCAGACATCAAGGAGAGTAGATTATTACGCAATTATAATGTCGATTACCAAATAACTTATGACGGGCGATAGCCCCCCTCCCCCTTCTTCCAAACCGTTTTTTTAGGGTGTGAGTGAGAGATTTTGGTGCCGCTGATTTGCATTCGGTGAATGCGAAGTAGCAGTCGTCTGGCAAGCATGCTATGCTGCTTGGGCATCCACAGCCAATAAAACCTAGATGAAAGAGGATTCATAATTTGAACTAACGTGATAGCAGCGTGGCACGCTGATTGGACCTGGCGCCTATTAAAAATGGCAAGGGGGCGTTGATGGCTACTTAGTCCAGTGGTACTGTGTATACTGCGCTGACCGTTTTTGCTAGACAACAGACCTCCAAGATTGCACGGGCCTAGCGCTATCTAGGTGGGATTATAATTTGCGTAACTTAGAAGGTTCATGCTAAATATATGGTTTGCCATTTCAAAACATGACTTTCACGGCACAGACGATCAAACACGAGCTACTATTACGCCCTACTAACTCCATAAACTCTGACCTCATTTGCCACGCAGCACATGGAATGCCGAAGCGACAAAAAGCTGTTTTCCATGACTTCAAGTGTCGCGCAACGACATTGGGTAGTGATGTTTCTCACTTAAGAGAAGCCAAGTACAGTCGCACACAACACTCCTTTCCCGAGAACATTCGCACTCAACGCCCCTGATCAAAAAAAATTATTGTTGCCTTACGATCTCAAGAATAAACGCGGATCTTTTTTTTTTATTTTTTCCTTTGCGAAACTTGATAACGAAGTCGTGGAGGTCCTATTGATGGAGTTGACAACAATGCTAACCCCAGGATCTCGTCAACGAGCTGTACGATGGCCACAGTGACAATATATAAATATGGCTCACACAGTACACACGAGCACTGCGAGAGCATGCGGTTTGAGCTCGTGACAAATAATGCCTCCAGAGGCGTTTAGGTAGCCGACGGCGCCCAAACAGCGATGACTGTAAAAGCCGAACCCTTAGACGACTGTACCGCGGCCCCAGTCGAAATACCGGTGGCAGCTGTGCTAACGCTCCTGCTTGTGGTGCGAACGTCGTGTCTTTGCGCGTGCCCCGTATTTCGTTCTTTTCGCAAATAAATGGTCAATTTATCATCAGTGCCTTAATGCAGAATGTGACATTTATTTTTCAAAACCTAACAAAAAAAAGTACAAGCTTATTTTTAAAGACCTGCCTTTACAATTTCAAGTTTCTAGACTTGTAAATCATGCAAGTCCCGTTTTAAATTTTAATGAATGTATAAATGACTCGTGTGGTTTTCTATTTACGTATTTTTCTGGTTAGTACCTCTACATGTTTAATCTTTACTGAAAAAATTGAGTTTTTATACAATTTTTACCTGTCATAACTCAGTTTCACATCATAGAACAGCAACGACTTTTAAGGACATACTCCTGGGAAACATAGAAACTTAGCCTAAAAAAATACGAGAAGTGATACGTCAGCGGTGTATTCGTAAACACCCCTTCAGTTTGATCAAGTTTCAAATAATTTACTTTACGCGTTCTTGGATTTTTCAGATCCGATTTTAGCATCTGATATCATTTTGTTTAAATTGTATGCTATAGGTACTTGGTTGGTTCTCTGCTGGTTTTGTTGTATTCATATTATTCACACTTGTTTAAATATTTTAAAATCATGGGACTATTTCGAAGCTCGACTTTGTGTGCAAGGAGCCGGTTTCAGGGAAGAGGACAGAAATTAAAAGGACGATTTTACCATTGAACATTTTATCATTTTATTTATAATCACTTTTCATGATTATAATTTTTAAATGGGACGAACAGTCGTAAATATCAAAAGGGACTCGTGCTTTTGCAGACGACTCGTACTTGCAACCTTTTTAGAGCGCAGCTCTTAGGGGCCCGTTCCCGGCTTGAGCGGCGTCGCCGTTGGCGTCGCCGTCGGCGTCGGCGTAACCAAGGTCATCCCAAGGTCACGTGGCCCCCCAAGGTCATCCCAAGGTCACGTGACCCCCAAGGTCACGTGACCCCTCCCCCAGGGTCACGTGACCCCCAAGGTCACGTGACACCCAAAGTCACGTGACCCCTCTGAAGTCACGTGACCCCCCGAGGTCACGTGACCCCCCCCCCCCGAAGTCACGTGACCCCCCAGTCACGTGACACCCCCAGGTCACGTGACCCCCGCCGAGGTCACGTGACCTCCCCGATTACGTCGTCACTGATGACGTCAAACGGCATCCGCATCGTCATCGTCATCATCACTGATGACGTCATCAGTGATGATGACGATGACGATGCGGATGCCGGTGAGGTCATGAGTGACGTCACTGATGACGTCATCAGTGATGATGACGATGACGATGCGGATGCCGGTGAGGTCATCAGTGACGTCACTGATGACGTCATCCGCGATGATGACGATGACGATGCGGATGCCGGTGACGTCATCAGTGACGATGACGTCATCGGGGAGGTCACGTGACCTCGGCGGGGTCACGTGACCCTGGGGTGGTCACGTGACCTGGGGGTGTCACGTGACTTCGGGGTGGGGCATCCGCATCGTCATCGTCATCATCACAGATGACGTCATCAGTGACGTCACTGATGACGTCACCGACATCCGCATCGTCATCGTCATCATCGCTGATGACGTCATCGGAGTCCGCATCGTCATCGTCACTGATGACGTCATCAGTGACGTCACTGATGACATCATCGGCATCGTCACGTGACCCGCCAAGGTCACGTGACCCCCCCAGGTCACTTCACCCCCCCAGTACCCTTCCCTCCTCCTCCTCAAGAGCTGCGCTCTAATTCGGTGTTACAGGGAGTTGTAAACGGCTTTCATTTTTTGAAAGGTGGCTGGAATTCTAGGTTGATAAGTTCAGAAAAAGTGGCGCCGAATCTATCCCTGGCTGAGAGGATTCTAGTCTGAAATATTTCACCTCGCTTCTTCCAAGGTCTTTTAATAAATTACATTAGTCTTGAGGAAAAAAAATGAAGCGAGAATAGTGTCACATGTGTCACGAGCAAATTCTGGGAGGTGTATTAGGTGGAGGGGCATATCTGTTTGCGCGGCTGCTGAGCGCGTGCTGACGGCGAGCCTCCACGGTTCTTTTAGCAACGCACATTCCGAACCATCATACTGCGAAACTCGCTGTTTAGTTCAGAGTGGGATGTGGTTAGAGCTATTTGCACACCGGCGCCACAACTTTTCAATTCGCCCTAGGGAGAGCCAGCGAATAGACGATTGCAAACACCTCATACAGTTGTCGCAATGTTCCTCCTCGTGTGAGCAAGCACGAACTATTGCAGGCCTGCCAGAGGTATGTTCAAGCACATGCTGTATGAGCTTTCACGGATGGGCACAAATCGGGACGCCCTGGTTACAAACGTCTATATACGAAGCGTCGATAACGGTCTTCACCGGTGCATCACCGCGCCACCGTTCTTAAAGGCCGACGACCAGACTCGAGATTCTGCGAGGCAGAAGATCCTCCTCACCATGGGGAGGAGGAAACAGGCAACGGTGGACAGGGTAGAAGGGGGGAGAGGAGGAAGCGAGAGGGAAGTGGAAAGCGTGAACTGGTAGTCGGTCTTAAGGAGGCACTAACACGGATTTTGATGTAGCCTTTTTTTTTTTGCGCAAATTCGTTTTTTCTGTTTTAAGAATAATAGAAAACTGAAAATTACCATCGCGCAACGCCTGCGTCGCCCCCAAATTGGAACCAGACACCATTACACTCCCCTTTTACTGAAGTTTCTAAAGAAAGGAGTCGGTCGCTGAGTTTGGTTGCGTTCTAAGGGGCAAAAATGCCGCGTATTTTGGGAGTTTATAAACTACTTAGCGTGCGACAATTGAGTTCGCGCTAAGAAAAGACGACCTACCAATCCACTTTGGTGGATGACAATTCCAGCATCATCTCCATCCTCTCATGCATTAAAATTGCAATAATTTGATCCGGATCTCTGAGCACTGCGTTCCCTTTTCCCTTTCCCATACCCCCAGGGAGCGTGGACGTCTACTGCTAACATTCTGGCTAAATTCTTCATCATTTATTCGGTAAAATCAATCA